CATGTTCTTTATAATAGTAGACTTGGGCCTGAAAACATCTTTTCTACGAGAGCTCCTTAAACTACTTCCACAGTATTTTCATATAACCCACGCTTTGTTTTTAGTGCTGTGAAACTCTAATTTCTGTTGCTGTATTTAGAAAGATCTTAGAGTTTGGCTACTTTAGAAAGCCATTGAGACAATTGCTCATGTTTTTTTTCTTTTTTTTTATCAATTTGAAGTTTCTAAATCACCAACAATGGGGGAGATAAGTTTTTACGCTCTTTTTAACACAAAGGATATATACACTGTGCACCCCTTTCTTCCGTTCTCTCCATAACAAAGTAGTGGGGGATGGAAGAATGAAGTACCCCCAAAAAAAATTCTTACCTAATTTTTAAATGTAAAATTTTGCAGATTAGGAACTGAAAATTTACTAGTGGAATGCTTTGTAAGTTTTGCAAGTGAGTTGTTGAAAACTGGAACACGATTTGATTGGTCACAGAACTAATGTCAGTGATTGCAAAGTTTTCTTCGCAAGATGGACAGAAACCATCTTCCTTTGGAAGCTCAGTATTTGAAGTGGGTAGAAGGGAATTGCCTTGCTCAAGGCCTGCATGCAGGGCACCCTGGCCCCAGCGGTGCACAGCAGGTCACGGCTATGTCTGCGAGATCATCTCTGTCCCAGTTAGATGTGGTAGCACTGGCAGTCTGGCTTTGTAGGTCATAAATCATGCCGCCCCAAATTCAGGGACTTAGGGGCACACAGTCTCTGGTGAGTCTACACCACCCCATCCTAAAGCACAGTCTCAGAGGTGGCAGGTTAACGTGCAAACACAAAAGACAAGGACACCTAGTTGAATGACTGAAACACTCGAGTTCTTCCTCTAGTCAGTGCCCACCGCCACCCCAGCCTCACTTCAAGTGGCCCCTTTTACACTTTTCAAGCTCTTAATTTCCATCACCTCTGTGTGTTTCTCAGTGAGGGTTGCATTGAGACTCTGGCCACAAGTCATTCTCAGGGAACACTAAGTAGAGCTTACGGTGTTGAGCTCCTTGATGTCTGCCACTGTGCGGTCACTGGCCTTCGTGACAACACATCACCTCCCACAGGCTAGCGTGCACACACTCCCTTGAGAAGCACCCCCAAATCCTGAGTGCCAATGGAAGTGATCTTCCCAACCTGCGCCTCGCCTATAAATATTTACATTTTAGAAGACAACATTCTCTATCCGAATAAATACATGCAAAGGAGGTTCAAGTCAAACCACAGTGGGCTAGCGTGCTACTGCAGCCAGCGTGACTTAAGGACAAAATAACTGGCAATACCTTGATGGAGTTGGAATCGACATAGCCATTTTGGACAATGATACGACAATTTTAAAGTTGGCCTGTGTCTTCTGTGACTTAGAAAGTAGTGTTTTTAGATATATGCCCAGGAATAATGAGTAGCAAGATTTCCAGAACTTGTGAATCTCACTGGCATAATAATGCAAAGTTTGAAAGTCCCATAGACAGAAGGATTTCCTCTGGGTGTGCTATTCAGGAACAGGTGACAATGATAGGAGTCAGAATGCTACTTACCTGTGGGAGCAGAGATGTGACTGAGAAAGGGTACACAGAGCCTGCTGAGCTGTTCTGAATCAGGAGCTCAGGTTCTATAGTAAATGTACATATGTGTGTATACATGCCTATTTCTTACATATACTTTTTATTTATATGTTAGGTGTTACATATATGTAAATGCATTTTTGCAAGTCTGTATATGAAAATTCACTTATCTTTATATATAAAATGGATATAATTTGTTGTCTCTAAAAATAAATTTGGTAACTTAAGTGATGTTTTAGACACTATGATAAAGAATAGATGGAGGCAGTTGAGGGAAACGGGTTTTTCTGGAAGCTATCTACTATGGCACAAAGGGAGGTCCTTGGTTCTGGGCGCCTGTGACCAAAGTAGAGGTGCTGGTGCCGGTGCCACAAGCTGATTAGAATAGAGGTAGCAGGAAATACTGAAGTCTCACGTGATCCTTCATCATGGGTTTTTCTGTTCATTCATGTCTAGACTCAGAGGTTCGGTTTTGGTTTTCTTGTCTTCCATGCCCATGGCACCGTGGTGGAGGCCGTGGGTGCTGCTGGAGAAGGTCATCCAGCGGCACTGGCAGAGGGCACGGGGAATGACTGCCAGTCAGGCAAGCGAGCTTTGTTGTGGGGGAAGCCCGCCACGCCGACCGTAGCCAGCAGTGACGCGGGAAGGTGCTGCCCCAGCAACTTGGCGACAAGTGAAAATTCTGGGTCCCAGAGGTGACCTTGGAGTATGTAGTGCTGTACCTCATGAGCAGGGAGTCCAGACCACGCAGCGAGAGAAAGAAAAATAATCATGGTGTGACATGAGGGGAAACAGAAGAGTGGAGATTTTGTCCAGGCCTTCTGACCACAACTGGCTGGTTACCCAAACTTGAGGTTTAAGTTGGAATATATTATAGGAGCGACACTTGCACCATGGAAGCCCGGCCGGACTTGGCATTTTTCCTGGGCCTTCATGGTGGTTTTCTGAAAGGAGAATGAATTATAGTGGATCATTTTCAATTACATGTTGTGGATAAGTGAGTATCATGCAAAACACACACTCTGGTAGTACAGGCTGCTCAGGTGCTGGGCCAAGGGCTGCGCCAGGTATAATCTGGCTGTCCACTTCCGCTTCCGCTTCCAGCTTGGAACACAGTAAGATGTACACAACGAATGAATACTAACTTTGCCATTTCAGCTTCATCAAAAAGGCCCT